GGCCTAGAAAACACATCAGGTAAATGTTCCACCAAGTCAGAAAACTACGAAAATCTTTTGTTTTTTTTTCAAAAAGTATTATTTTTTTTTTTAATTATTATTTTTTTTTTTCAAAAAGTACAAAATTTTCCAGAATAATCAGATAATGTTTGGTTTGCTCACCTGCTGCTCCTTGCCTTGTTCGGCTCGGCGGGTACGGTAGGAAGACCAGTGGCGGATGTGACTGTTGAGAATGTGATATTGGAGATACCGGTTTTGAGGCCTGCAAAATCAGAAATAAGGATTCTGTGGATTCGAAAAGTTCTTTGAATTCCCATATTTCAATTTCCCAGTTCTCAAATATTAAAAGCCATTAAAAATCCTGTAACTTTCTCTCCCGATCTCGAATGTCAGGTTCTTTTTTTTCAATTTTTCCTACTCGCCTCATTCTGAAAACATGCCGACATATCTCTCTCGACCACCGGCGTAGTCTGAATGGCTACCGACGATCGAGCGGGCACGAAACCCAGACACTTTGCCACGTATTTCTGTCGAGTCAACAGTTTGAAAATGAGATTATCGACAGATCCCTGTCGATTCATGGAATGTGTCGACGAGGAAGCCGACGATGGAATCGAATGAAATCCGTTAGAAGCAACGGCTAGGGGATGACCGGCTGACTTGCATCGGGATGCTGGTGAATGGGATTCACTTCGACGCGATGGAAGCATAAGAAAAGAAGAGGGTTCAGAATAGGATGTAGTGAAGAATATATGGTACGATTCTGAATTTTGAAGATTCTATGATGTGAGATCATGATCAAAGAGGTACGACAAACACGGCAAGGGAAAGGAATATAGAGCTTTTAAAGAATGAGGATCATAAGGTGGAAAAATTGAGCGTTTGAAGTATGAAGTTCCAAGATTCTGAAAGCGTCCGAAATTTCAATTCAAATATCGGATTCAAACAAATTGGGACAATATCCAGATTCGACAGTTTCGTGATCATAATATCTTGAATTTTGGTAACTAGGTTTTTTCGTTTTCGAGGGGATTCCAAGATTCTTGGGATCAAATATTAGGCTATATGATTTTTTTAGAATAAAGGAATTTTCAAATTCGTAATACTTTGAATCCGCAAGATTATAATTTTTTCTAGATTCTCAAAACTTGGATGAAATATACCGTAAAACCTGTAATAGAAGGGCCTCCCTGACTGTCAAGTTTGAGCTCAGTTATCTCAATTCCATTGCAAAATATCAAAAATGTGTCAACTAACAAAATATTGGTGATATTGTGACAAACAATTTATCAGTTGAATACTTTTTGATACCTTGCACAGGAATCGAGATAATTGAGCTCGAAATTGACGGTTCTGGTGGGCTTCTATAGAGTATTTACTGTCTTTCAACAAGTTACAGTACTCCAAATACTCATCCTTAGTTTTCAAACCAAAAAAAACAGAAGAACTAAACCAAAAGCCACAGAAAATCACAAATTCTGTGTGGTCTGCTCTCGCTCAATTGTTTTTCTTTGTGTCGAATCTCGCGAACTCTTCCTCTTCTCCCAAAGACATGGATGAATAATCGAAACAGACTTCTTCTCGTCAATCTTTTGTCATTTTCGAATTTCTATTTTTTTTATTTGGTTTGTTGGATGTATATTGTTTTTGCTCTCTTACTAAAATTTTGAAAGAAAAAAAAGAGAAAAAGAATCAGAAAAAAACTAGCAGACAACTCAATGCATTAGGTAGTGGTTGATTGGGTCAATGATCTACAAAAAACGGGTATTTGTTATGGAAAAAAATGGATATTCTGAAATATCGGAAAGTGACGCGGATTTCAAAAAATACATAATGAAAAATGTTTTAGATCTCTAGCAAACCGGAGAGTCGAGATATGAGCGTTAGAAGTTTTGAGATAAAGAACCGCAACGCGACCGCGCCGCACGTAGATCAAAACTTCAAACGCCTGTATCTCGACTCCCAGCCGTCATAGGAAAACTTGAAATTTCGTGAGCACACACTAATTAGATACCAATTAACGCATTATTATCATTTTGAGGACTTTTTCCCTCCTTTGAGTAAAAAAACTGATTGGGGAAGCACAAAAATCAGAAAAACACGGAACAGGAGGAAGAGGAAAAAGTAGCAAAATGAGAAGGTTGCTTTCTTCTGGAAAAGGATCTTCTACTACGTCTTCTGAATATCGGACACCTACGCTAATGATATGTGCATTCAGAGTACTCAATTTTCTTCTTCTTCTTCTTTTTCATCTTATTCTTCTTATGCTCATCATCTTTCTTCTCATTTTTTCGTCATCACCTTTTCATAATTTTTGCATTCCGTAATTGGGGTCAAAGATGCAGAAGAGTAATTGGGAAAAAAATTGAGAAAATTTGTGAGGTGCTGAAAACGAAACTACCAAAAAATTATCCACAAAAATTGGAGAATGACACATTCGGAATTTTGGATGAAAGTACAAAATATTTGAATTTTTGAACAAACCGAAATTGGAATTTTTCGGACAACAGCATGAATAGAAATCGATTTGCATATGTCTGGATGAAATAAAATGATCAGAATCCAATTTTTAGATTTTTTGACTAGAAGTCACGGATTCTGAAGTTCTAAAAAAATTCAGAAGTTGAAAGAAAGATTCTGAGATTTCGAAGTTCTGAGATTCTGAGATTCTAAGATTCTAAGATTTTGAGATTTTTAGATTCTGAGATTCTGAAACTTTAGGATTCTAAGATTCTAGGATTCTGAGCCTCTGAGATTCTGGGATTCTGAGATTCTGAGATTATGAGATTATGAGATTCTGAGATTCTGAGATTCTGAGATTCTGAGATTCTGAGATTCTGAGATTCTGAGATTCTGAGATTCTGAGATTCTGAGATTCTGAGATTCTGAGATTCTGAGATTCTGAGATTCTGAGGTTCTGAGATTCTGAAGTTCTGAGATTCTGAGATTCTACGATTCTAAGATTCTGAGATTTTTAGATTCTGAGATTCTGAAACTCTAGGATTCTAAGATTCTAGAATTCTGAGCCTCTGAGATTCTGAGATTCCGAGATCCTGAGATTCTGAGTTTCTGAGATTCTGAGATTCTGAGATTCTGAGATTCTGAGATTCTAAAATCCAGAATTTCCGAAATTTAAAAGTTTTGTACTCCAAGATTCTGGCTTTACACATCCTTTCTTGAGCTCAAAAATTTTCATTTTCAGAATTCGATCAAAAATCTGGAAACCTTAAACTTCGAACATTTTGTCTAGCCAACCCAATTGCGGACAATTATTTCCGAACGCCTATATTTATCCCCATTTTTTTGATTTCAAACTTTTCGAATCTAGAATTCCAAGCAAGACGCAGATTTTTGAAAAAATATAAATTTTAATGGAAAACAAAAAGTTTTGAGTAGAAATGGGATAGAAAAGAAAAGAAGATAGAGTAGATCAGAAATTGGGTGTGTGGAATACGAAATTGGGACGTCGGTTGGTCGGAGAAGAAGAAGGAGAAGGCAAAGGGAAGAAGAAGAAGAAGAAGAAGTGTCTGAACTGAAAAACAAGGAAGGAGAAGTGTCCCGCCTCATTCCAGAATTCGTCATTTTCTAGTGTGGAATTCAGAATCTGAATCCGACGAGATTCAGGAATCCTACAAAAACTAGGTCAGATTTCGATTTCCCGATTTTTCTCAATAACAATAACAATTTTTCTACTAAACTATACTTGAATTTGCAGAGATCCATTGTGAATCACAGAAAAAAAGAATGAAAAAAGGAATGGAGATGAGGAGGTGTAACCTTTTTTTTTCATCATTTTGATCTCCTTTTTCTTTTCTGAAAAAGGAAAAGAAGCATGACATCCGAAATTTGAAAGGAAAAATCGGAAAACAGGAGGCAGAATAAAAGAAAATGAAGACGTTGGATTGTCGTCATCTGGAAGAAGAGCAAAAGGATTCCAATTAAATCCGCGGGGAAGAAAAAAAGATGAGAAAAGTTTTAATTAAATACACCTCTCGATAGATTTCTTTATTTGAATAAGAAAAGGGAGTCTATGGGAAGAAAAAAAGAGAAGGAAATGTCTGAAAAATTGGGTTACGGTAGGTGAGGAAGAAAGAGAAGAAGGAGAACTTTGAAAAGTTTGAGGATCGAGAATTTTTTTTCAAAAATTCTCAGAAATTCAAGTTCCCAAATGTGCTCACCTTTAAATACTACATTTCTTTAAAAAAAACGAATCTTCTAGCTCATTTAGAACCCGAGATACACCCATTTGAAGTTGACGAGAGACGCAGACAACGTGACATTCTAACTGTCTGCGTCTCTAAAAAACTTCAAATTGCTGTGCCTCAAGTTCTAGATAAGCTAGAAGATTGAGTTGTTGTTTATAAATGTAGGATTGTTGATTTTCTATATTTTCATTTTCTTTATTTGAATTTTTTTTTCAACTTTCTCTAGCTCATTCATGGGCCGAGATACATACATGTAAATGCATTTGAAGTTTAAAAGAGACGCAGACAATTAGAGTGTCTAGCTGTCTGCGTCTCTAGCCTGCTAAACTTTAAATGATCATTTCTCAGCTCTCAGCCAGATGAACTAGAGAAGTTTATAGAAACGAAGGAATTTTCAAACTCTATCATTTTCGTTCAGAATGCAGAAAATCTGAAACATTTAGGCTAACTGATTTCAAAAAATCATAACTTTGCACAGATAAAAGATACATTTTAAAATAAAATGTATCTTGTAGAACGAATTACAGGATACAAAAACATTATTTTCAACTTTGTCCTATTTTCCTATTACAGGTTTCACGTTCTTTGCTTGCCAAGGGAAGATACAAATTTTGAACCCCGATATTTAAAAAAAAGCGAGCAGATACTTTGGATGCTTTAGAATCTTGTTTTTCTGGTCCACACTTAAAATTCTGTAGCTGCAGAGTTCTGGAATTACAGATTCCCCCGAACTTCTTTTTATGAATTATCTATATTTTCTCACTATTTCAAATTCTTGCTTTATCTGCGGAGAAGTACATTTTCAGAACGAAATTTTTTCTCTGAAAAAAATGTAGTCTTCCAAAAAACCAAACTACAAGACATCCTAAAAACGCCCATTTTTTTCTTTTTTACTTTTTTGTTTTCCGGGTCAACGAAAAGAAAAAAAACTGTTCAAGCATTGCTAATTGATCATTTATGTCACGTTTTCTTCCAATCTAATGAACTAATCATGATGATTTCTTTTAGAAGGTGTTAAAATGAACTTTTGGAATTTTCAGAAAACAGAGAATATATGGATGCAATTCTGACGTTTTTCTTGTGAATGTTGCTCAAAAAAGGTAAAAAGTTGCCATATCAAAAAGAGAGATAAAATGATGACATGAGGCAAGAAAGCAAGGAGTATTTAGATTTAAAAAATGAGGAATTCTATTCTAGATAGTTGAGGATTAGAAGTTTCGTGACATTCGAAAACAACACGAGTACTTCGAAAGATGATTCTGGGAAAATTATCAGAAGGATTATCCTCGAAAAGTTTAAGGGAACTGATGTCACTTTTTTGAGTGCAGTGGAGCGAATTTGGTTTCTTATAAATTTAAAGTTTTATTCTCAATAATTCTGAAGATTACACTGGCACCAACAAGTTTTGAAAGTCAAAAGGTGCTAAACGGTCGGCCGTCGGACGTTGAGAAATCCGAAGTTACGGCTTCCTGCGACTATTAACTTTGACCCTATATATCTCATTTCCTATAGAAGATAATAAAAAGTGATCAACTGATAAAATGTTTATTATAATATCACAAACATTTTTTTAATTTACATATTTTTGATATCGTTTACAGGAAGCGAGATATACTGGCTCAAAGTTACAAGTTAGGATTGGCCATCTATTAGAGAATTTACGGTATATAATCTCGGTTCCTATGAATGGTAGAAAAAACTGACAAACTGGAAAATTGTTTATAGTAAAATCGTAAACATTTTATCAGCTTTCACATTTCTGATATCTCTAACAAGAACCCAGGTAATTTGGCTTAAAGGTGCTTATGTCAAATGGGAAGTTAAAAACTTTTAAAATTTTCAGAAACTTTTGACTTTTGGTGTAATAGTAACACATCGTATTCTCTTGTATCTCTTCTCTCCTATCCCTTTTTCCAGACGTAATTTCCAATTTCCCTAATCAAACCCAAAAACGTTGCTCTTTTTTTTCCTGTTTCTTCTTCTTTTTTTCCATTGAAATCAACTATAAAAACAGAAAACGAAGAGTCGGATTGGGACAAAAAAGGTCCCTCCCCGAATGAATACGTGCTTCTTCGTGACAAAAGTGAAGAGAGAAATAGGAAGAGGAGGAGGAGCAAAAAAAGAATTAATCTCATAAAACATCCATATAAGAGAAGAAGAACGAGAGAGATTGGAAAGGGAAAAGAGCAGGAAAAAGGTTGGGAGAAAAAAAAGAAGAGAAAGGGAAACTTTGGAAAATAATATATGTCCAGAAGACGTCCCATTCGATGAAGAGAATTCATAAAATGATGAGGAGAGAGCACAAGAATTAAACTTTGAACGTTTGAAAAATTGAAAATGAAGGCTACAGTAACCCAATTCAAAATTTCAGAATATATCTAAATTCTCCACAATCTTAAAATCCTTGGTTTTCAGAATTTCAGAACCTCATAATTCTCGAATTGCAAAATCTTAGAAGTTCAGATTTTCAAGATTTCTGAATTTATGAATTTCAGGATTTTCGATTTTCAGAATTTTCGATTTTCAGAAATTCAAAATCATTTTGTATCCTTGTATCTTCGATTAACGTCAAACTAGAAATTTCAAAACCTTTTAAGGGGATTAAAAATTCGAATTAGTGATAAGCAGTCAGAAAAACACAAAAATTCGAACTCTCGAGAGGATATCAGAACAAATAAGGGATCAACGAAAGCCGGAAGTTTATATCCGAACTAGAAAGAGTTACCGTAGTAGGAACCCAGAAGCTGAGAACCTTCTAGAACTATATAGTTACAGTAACCTAAACTTAAAGGCGCGCATTGAAAAACCAAAAACTGCGAAGTGATATCAAAAGGGATGGGGCTCCCTTTGAGCACAAAACCAAGTCTTCTGCAAAATCAACATCTACCCGGAAGCCCTATTCATTTCCTCACTGAGAAAAATGTTCGTTGCAAAATAAAAAATTAGAAGTGTGCTCCTTGTTTTTCTTTTACATCACTTTATCAATTTCCTCCCCCTAAATGAGGTGTTCCCTATTTTGAGGAAAGAAAAATAAAAGAGTTGTTTTATCTCTACAGAGACCAGAGACCTTCAGACAGAAGCCCTTCCTAATCGAATAACAAATGGGACCCTCGGGAGACTTTCGGAAAAGAGTAGGTGAGGAAGAAAAAAGAAGGAGAAGATGTTCACAACAGATTTTGTCACTCTTCTTCTTCTCCTGAATACACTCCCCAATTCTCTCACGCTAAATCCTCCACGCCTGAGCAGAGCATCTTCTTGTCCAAGTTTCGAGGGCAAAAGACGAAGAAGAAGAAAACGTCACGTCACGCAGTGGTGGATTTGAAGATGTCAAAACACATCTAGACTTTTGCAGTCCGTTTTGCATTTGCACCCCCAACCGAAACCAATTTGTCGGCCATTCATATGTTTTCGGACCACCCCCTTTTATAACTATCCTCGTGGGGTGAACTTCAAAAAGAGATCAAAATTCAAAATTTTGTAGTTCTGCAAAAGTTTCTAATTGAAGCAAAATTTGTGTTTCTCAGTGATAAGATCAAAACCTATGCCAGAAAGTGTTTGAGTAGGCACCATTTGGTCGGCTTGGTCGACGTCAGAATCTCAGTATTTCAGAATTTCAGAATCTCAGAATTTTAGAATTCGATAATTTCAGACTTTTGAAATTTAGAATTTCAGAAACATCAGAATTCAATAATTTCAGAACTTCAGAATTTTCGAATTTCGAAATTCAAAAATCTCAGAGTTTCAGAAACTCAAAAGTTCTAATATTCTAAAATTCTAAGAAGTCGCCAATTTTCGACCAACAGAAATGAAAGATAATTTTAAAGTAGATGGAAGAGAGAACACAAAAACAGATGAATATTTTTAAAATGAAGTTATATTTTTACCTTTTTTGTGCATTCTTCCGATGCACTCATTTTCAGAATCTTCCGAAATTCAGAGGAATAGAAATTCATAAAAGAAAGTCT